GGAGAGAAGAGAGAAGAGGAGAGAAGAGAGAAGAGGAGAGAAGAGAGAAGAGGAGAGAAGAGAGAAGAGGAGAGAAGAGAGAAGAGGAGAGAAGAAGAGAGAAGAGAGGAAGGAGAAGAGAGAAGAGAGGAAGGAGAAGAGGAGGAGGAGAAGAGGACTTGCCACTGCTTGGGTCTCCTTTAACTACAAAGAGCTTCTTCCTTGGCACGTTGGCCAAGCCTTGGCCGCTTGCACCTGTGGTGGCCTCCACCCCTCCTTTCCCTGCCCCGTGTCCCCTCTTCTGTCTCCGTCTTGGGCCTTCGCTCCCGCTCTCCTGGCAGCCCCGTCACTTGTCAGGTTGCCTCCTAGTCTCTTCATTAGCCCTCGCTCCCGCGTTGACTGAGGGCGGCTTGTCTTTGTCGGAGAGCTTTCTAATTTAATCAAGGCTAGAGACACAATCCCGGGCCGCGTTCGCCCAGCGTGCCGGCCCTGCTCTCCGATTAATTCCCAGGACGTCACATGTGCTGTTCTGCTTTGTTCATCATGGTGTTTTCCCCCGTTGCATTCGCTTCTGGAGGCTGCGCACCAGGTGTCCAACGTATCCAAGCGCCACCGCTCCGGGCTCCATGGCCTCGTTCCTCCCTTCCCTTCAAGGACTGGGCATGGGCAGAAGGGGAAGAACTGGGGCTGTGGTTGTTGGGTACCATGTAGGTTTAGGGGCACCACGTTTGGGGAAAATGCTGCCAAAGCAAGGTTGTCCTGCAGCGGATGATACGAGAAGAAGCAGGATAAAAATAGGAGCAAAAAAAAGAGGAATTCTAACAATTCTGTTAGAATTATTTAACAAATAACGGATTTCTGAAACCCAGGGGTCTCTTCACCTCTTTCCCTTTGGAGGCTCTATTGGATTCCACCTTCTCTGCCTTTCCATGCCCAGGTCTAGAGTAGGTCACATTAAAAAAGCCCCTGCCTGCCTTCCTAGCAGGATCGTAGTGATGCTGCACCCCACTACCCCACTCCTTGGTTTTAGGAGGGTAAAATCCATCTGGGAAAGAGCGGGAGGTTCTACCTGACCAGCCTGGCTTTGCTACGGGTTGTCCACACGGCCCACGTGGGTGGCAGCTTTCACTTCTGCTTTCTCGAACGCAAAGTGGAGAAGATTGTGCTCTGCTGTAAGGACCTGTGGACCTTGGTGCTCTACAGGGCTGTCCTTTTTGGAAGGCTGGGCTCTGTGGGAGCCCTTCAGGATACACTCATCATGGATGAGCTTTCCACTGAAGCTGTGCAAGAAACCCAGACTCTGGAGGACAAAACTTGCATGGTCAGCTCTTCTCAAACCTTCGAGACCCATCGGGGATAAGTCCCCTGGGTGCTCAATGCTCGTCTCCCAAAACAACCACCCCACATTTCATCCCTGGGTGGCCACGCACCGGGCTGTTGGCTACAGCAACAGTGTAAATTCAGTCACCTGCCGGGTGTGAAGAGGACCATAAACCTTCTCCAAGGGGCCTCTCCAAAGCGTTGGCCTTCACAGCCCCCGCCCCACTTTTAACACCTCCCTATTAGCGAGGGGAGGAGGGTGCAAACTGGGGCACAAATTGCACAAACCTGGGGTTTGGGGAATGTCGAGCATGGCAAAAGCGCCAGCAGGGATCTCCTTAGGAGGTGACTTGATGCCACCCAATGGCCTCTCCATCCCCCTCCAGTCCCAGCGATCTGGGACAATCCGAACAGTGAGACAGGGAAGGGGTGGGAGAAGCTAATAGAGGACGGCAGAGCCCTGTAGCTCCCACAGCTCTTGAGAGCTGCCTCCTCCTATGGCCGTGATTAAGACCCAATTAATGAGGGCCTTTCAGCCATCAGCCTTCATTACTGCTGCCCTTCCAGGGGCCTTGGGCTCCTGTGGCCCCGCAGGTTGTAAGGGCTGAGTGCCATTTTTCTGGGAGGTTTAATTCCTTGGAGGCTCTTGGAACGACCTCCCTGCGGCCTCTCCACCAGGGCTTGGAGGCCCAAAGACATGTAGGAGGATACAAGAACGTATCTAGGAACCTACTCAGGAGTGGCCTCAAACACAATGGCGCAGGAGGGGGTCTGTTGTGGCCTGTCCTGGAGTTGCTGTCCCAAGGAATGGCGGGATGGAGAAGGAATGGGTTAACATCCCTGGGGAAAATGGGCGTGGGATGAAGGCGGCACTGAAGCTCCGATGGGTGCCCTAAAGTCACCCCCACCAAGGGAGGCAACAAAGCTTAATGTTGACCGCGGCTCCGGGCGAGAGGAGGGAAGAAGGAAAGGGAGATGCGGGAGAAGGCCGAGGGGAGCCAGAGCCCCGGGGTCCAGGGCAGCCCCGGGGCCCCGCGCTCCTGTCCCAGGCTGGGGAGGCCGGCCGAGGGGAGGGAGGCCAAGGTGGTACCGAGGCCGAGGCCGCAGCCCAAAGCTGAGCCCGGCCCCGCGCAGCCGCTCCCCGTGAACACGGGAGGAAAGCGGCGTCCCCGCGGCCTCCGGCGGGTTATCCCATGCGGATAAACCCCGGGGTTTAGTGCCGTCCTTATCCCCTCCTTCCATGTTCAGGACCCTGCACCTTAGAGTAAACCTTCTATTAAACCATCGCCTTCAGCCTGATTTACTCGGCCGCTTGCTATTTTGGGCAGCATGGAAAGCGCTTCTGCTCCTCTCCTTGGCTGCGCTCAGTTTATGCCTGCAGCGGATTTATTCACGGCTAAACGCTCCGGTTGCTGGCGCGGGCTGCGCGAGCAACTGCATCTGGGGGCCGGAGCTGGGGAGAGGGAGAGGCTGGGGCCTCTCGAAAGGAGCATCTAGGGCCATGCCAAGAGACCCTCGTACCCCCGAGCATCACCACCCTGCCCGGGAGTAACCCATTAACTGGGATGTAGCTGGTAATTAATCCCACTCCGAGTTCTGCTTCCTAATTCTCTTGGGAACAAGTTCCCCAAGGTGCTCGGGGGGTTCTTCAAGGAGCAGCGGAGGCCCAAGGTCTTCGGGGCCATTCCAGGCATCCCTAGAGAGCCTTTTTCCATGGGCAAAATGCAGCCTCCCTTCCATGGGCCGGGATGTTAGAGCTGTGATCTCCTGGTGCCTTCTCCTTTTGGGGAATGTTTCAGGTCATTTCCCAAAGCAACCAAGAAGGACGGGGAGAAAAGCGAAGGATGGGACCGTTGCTTGGGTGCGGGGTTGGCAGTCAGCCCCGTGGCCACCACCTCTCTCGGTGCCCAGGCCCCCTTTTCCCCTCGGAATTCACCCGCCGGGTTGGGGGACAGCCCCCTCATCCTGCAGCATCATCCATGCAGCAAGTTCCGCCCGGCCTCTGCGCGGGCGGCGGGGCAGCGCTTTAGTGACCGCGCTCGATGGCAGCGGTGCAAGGGGCCGCCCCGCACGAGCTCGGCTGTCGCTCGGAAAACAGAAGGCAGGGCGCGGAGGGGACGGAGCGGGGCGGGAGCCGCGGGGCCCCTTGTTCGCACCCCGCCGTTCCCGCCCGCCGCAACGTGGTTCGCGTTAGCGCCCGGCCGCGGCGCTGCTAACGCCGAGCAGATGGGGCTGCCCCGCGCGCCCCCGTCCCGCTGCTCTTTCTCCCTTTCCCTGCTTGTGTTACAGCCCGGGGAGATGATGGTGGTGGTGGTGATGATGGTGATGGTGAGGGTGGTGGTGATGCCGCCGCAGGACGCAGCAAAGGGACCCCAAGGTGGGACTGCTGCTGGGAACGGTGCTGGCGCTTGTGCTAAAGCAGAGCCTGTTGCAACCCCACGCCGAGCCCCAGGCTGGTCCTGGGAAGGAGAAGGGAGGCTGCATTCCACCTGGGACCGCATGGAAATGGCTCGGGTACCAAAACCTCTTCTCCTGGCATCAGGAACAAGTGGGAGCCTGCAGGCTGCTGCTGTTAAGCCTTGAGGCGACACTATTAAATGAGAATCCTCCTGCATGTTGCAGGAGGCTTTAATCCCACGCCAGGCATTTCCCCTCTTAACTGGAGGGGAAAATCACACGGCGGAGGCCTCGCTCCCTTGCAGATTCAGGACAGAGCAATTGGGAGGGATCCAGCAGCTGGGCTCCAGCCTTTGCCCTCCAAGCCAGAGTTTCCCTGAGCTCAAAGGTAGCTCACAGCTACCCAGGACGCTCCCCCAACCAAGAAACCAAAGACTTACTTTTTTTTTTTTTTTTTTGAGCTATCCATTTAATATATATATTTTTTTCCTAAAATCAGAGCCTTGAAGCACAGCCAGCTTGCTTGAAGCGCCTGCCCAGCGCGCGCGGCCTCACTGCATGTAGCTGTAGCGCCAGTCGGGCAGCGGCTCGTGCGTCTCCTTCACGGCCTGGGGCGACGTCCAGCGCAGGAGGTAGTGGGGGCCGCCGGGCTTGTCGTTGGTTCCTGCTCCGGAAGCAGGAGCGGCGCCGGGATCGGGTCGCGCGCCGGGACCGGCCGCCCCCTGCGCGCTCGCGCTCGCCGCCTCCTCTCACCCGAGATGCGGGAGCCCCCGAAGGGCTGCTGGGCCACCACGGCGCCCGTCGACTTGTCGTTGATGTAGAAGTTGCCGGCCGCGTTGCGCAGCCGCTTCCTCGCTTCCTCGATGGCGCTCCTAGGAGGGAAGGGGGCCAAGGGGTCAGCGAAGATGCTCTTGAAGACACCCCAGAGGTTGCAGAAAATGGCTTAAACGGCCACAACTGTTCTTTTCCCAGCTACTCTTCCTCATTTCAATGTTCTGCTGGGAGGTGATGTTAGCTCTAGCCACGTACCTGTAACAGCCCAGCTAACCTAAAAGCCCCCAAGCCCAGCAGGTTTTCTGGCTGGTGGGGCGGCGCGCGGGCGCGTTCGGGCACTCACTTCTCCCGAGCAAACACTGCCCCCGTGAGGCCGTAGGGCGTCGTGGTGTCGATGAGCTCCAGCACGTCGTGGAAGCGCCTCTCGGGGTACACGTACACCGCCAGGATGGGCCCGAAGATCTCCTGCGGCGCCGGAGGCCTTGAGGCGGCGGGCAGGGGCTCCCCGCGCAGCGCGGAGCCCACGGAGCAGCGCGGAGTCCCACGCACCCCACGCACGGCCCCGGAGCCCGGCGCGCGCCCACCTCTTTCATGATGGGGTCCCGCGGGTCGCTGCTCTCCACGATGCAGGGCTCCACGAAGTAGCCCACGCTGTCGTCGCAGCCGCCGCCCGCCAGCACGGTGAGGTTGGCTGAGGTGCGGGCGTGCTCCAGCCACCGCTTGATGCGGGCGAAGGCCTGCAAGGGAGCGTGCCCGCGGCCTGCGCGCCCCGGAACGGGGCCAGCGCCGCCCGGCCCTTCGCTCTCCCCCACCTCGGGAGCACTCCGAGCTGCAAATGCGACCCACACCCTACCACTGGGGTGTTTTCTCAGGAAAAAAAGGGGAAAAAAGGAAAAGGGAGCAGCACTTTGGGACTGAGACGTGTCCCACGTCCCCATGGCCAAGGCTGGGGCTAATCGCGGACTCCTCGCACTCCGCCCGAGGTCTTAAGGAAGGTGCCGCTGCTCCTCCCGCAGAGCCGGGACGGGGCGCTCACCTTGTCATCGATCACCGCGGAGAAAAAGGTGCCGAAGTCCTGGGTGGGCTGCGGGAGCGAGAGGAGAGCCCGGCTGCACGGCCCGGCGCGCGCGGGGCGGCCCGGCCCCCTCGCCCACCCCCCCGTCCCGCAGGGCCCCCCCGCCTTTTCAATTAGCCACCCAGCCGCTCGCACCGCGCTGCCGGCAGACGAGGCGACAAGTTAATTTCTAATCACCAAAAAAGATGACGAGGCCGGGGCTGGGGGGGCCGGCGGAGAGGTGAGGGGGGAGCAGCGGATGAAAAGCTCGGTTCAATAGGAATTAGTAGCCAGTTACCGCAGTCTCTAATCCCATCAGCCCCCCGCCGAGCCGCAAAGCCCTTCAGCAGCCCGGCAGCTCCGCTCACGTCTCCCACTTTGATCTTCCCGTGCTCCTCCAGCAGCTTCGCTTTGATCTGGGGCCACAGCGAGTCCGGGGCGTAGAGGCGGGAGCACGCGGAGCATTTCTGGCCGCCGTACTCGAAGGCCGAGCGCAGGGTGCCGTTCACCACGCTGCCCACGTCGGCCGAGCTGTGCACCAGGTGGAAGTTCTTCCCGCCGCACTCTGCTCCCGGGGGACACGGTGAGTGGCGAGCCGCCCCCTCGCAGCGCCCGCCGCCCGCGCCGCGTCCCTCACCCACCTCCGGCCAGGCGCGGGAAGTTGCGGTACCGGTCCAGGTTTTCGGCCACCTGCTTCCAGAGACGCTTGAAAGTCCTGGGAGAGGAGGCAGGAGCCGGTTAGGAGCTCTTTGGATACAGGGGAAACATGGAAAAGGCGGGTCTGGGTCCTGGGTGCTGCGCCAAAGCTGCAGCCCTGACGGAAGGGACGCCCTGCCAGGGGAGGAGAGGCCCTGGACACCAAAGCGAGGGGAACCGAGAACAACGGAGAGTTTGCAAACGCCGCGAGTGCCACAGGGAGGACTAGAGAGCCCAGCAGAAGTTTCCCCTTTTCCTCCTTTCCCCCCTTCTGTTTTTGGTTCTGTGACAAACGCCTTGGCCGCAAAACAATAAAAATGCTAAGAAGGTCCTGCCAGGAGACCCGGCTGCTAACACGGATTTAGGAGCTCCCGAGCGGGGCGCTCGTTGGAGGGCGGCGTTTGCCCCCCAGGACGGGATTCGCGGCGGGCGCCCGCACTTACGGCACACTGCCGGTGAAGTTGATGCCGCAGAGGTGCTCGGAGGCGGTGACGGTGTCCCCGAAGACGGGCCCGTCGGCCGGCACGAACTGGATGACGCCGGGGGGCAGCCCGGCCTCCAGCAGCACCCGGTACACGGCGTAGCTGGCGAGCACGGCCGCGTCGCTCGGCTTCCACAGCACCACGTTGCCCTGCAGCACCCGCGCGGCCCCGGTGCCCGAGGAGGAAGGGGAAGGAAGAGCCCGTTAGCGGTGTCCATGTGTCCGGCTGTGGCAGCGGGCACAACGCTCAGGCCGCGGTGACCGGGCGCCCACTTCCAGGTGGCACCGCGAGCTCTCCGTGCACCCACCCCCGTTGCTTCCCGGGATTTCCCAGCTCACCATCAAGGCCGGGGCGCCCGCCAGGTTCCCGCCGATGGCCGTGAAGTTGAAGGGCGAGACGGCCGCCACGAAGCCCTGGGGACGGGCAGAGGGCGCGTGGCGGCGGCGCTCGCAGCGGGAGCGGGCGCCGCGGCGGGCGCCCCTGCCCACCTCCAGCCCCCGGTAGACCAGGGTGTTGGTGCTGGCGTCCGCGCTCAGCGGCTGCGTCCCCTCCAGCTCCAGCGCGTACTGCGCGTTGAAGCGGAAGAAGTCGACGAGCTCGGCGGCCGCGTCGATCTCCGCCTGGATCACGGTCTTGCCCTGCGCGGGGGGCGGGCGGCATCGGGGGGTCCGTGGCATCGGGGGGGGCCACGGCCGACCCCATCCCGTCCCGTCCCGCTCACCTGCCCCACCATGGTCTTGGCCAGCACCTCGGCCCTCCGCGGGCCGCTCAGCAGCTCGGCCGCCTTGAGGAAGATCTGGGCCCGGTCGGCGACGGGCTTGAGGTCCCAGTCGGCGCGGGCGGCCAAGGCAGCGGCGATGGCCTCCTCGATGAGCGCCTGCGGGCGGCGCGGGCGGCTGCGGTCCCGCTCCGAGCCCGCCGCGGGACCGGCGCGAGGGCCATTGCGGGGCACCGACGGCCGCCCCGGGCACCGAGGGCCGTCCCGGGGGAATCAGGGGCCGCCCCGGGCACCGAGGGCCGTCCCGGGGGAATCAGGGGCCGTCCTGCCACCCCAAAGGCCGTCCCGGGAACGAGGGGCCGTTCCGGGCACCGAGGGCTGTCCCGCCGCCCCGAGGGCCGTCCCGGGCACGAGGTGCCGTCCCGCGGCGCCCACCTTGTCAGCGTAGCAGAACTTGGCCACCTTGTGCGCGTGGTTGAAGGGCTGCGCGGAGCGGAGGAGCCTCCGTGAGCGCCGGGCCGGGCCGGGCCGGCGCCCGCGGGCTCCCCCCGTGCTCACCGAGGGCTGGTAGCGCACGGCGTCGGTCCAGACGTCGCGGCCGGCCACGACGCAGGGCACGGGCTCGGTGCGGCCGCGCAGCGCGGCCAGCGCCCGCTGC